ATTATTAAAATACTTTACACCTACTGCACACACCTCTAATTAATAAGATTTATAAAAAAAAACTAGTCAAATTCTGCAACATTAAAATATTTATTTCCTCGTCTAATAACAATAGATTATTGTTATTAGTATTAAATCTATACTAATGATGAAATAATAATTATGTTCAATAAAAGTTGTTTAAAAGAAAAATTACTTTAAAACTATTATTGGTTTCTATTTGTAAAAGTTCGATTGTTGATATTTAGCTTTTTTAAAAATAAATTTCCCTTGAACAACAAAAATATATAAATCGTTCNTAAATTTCCCTTGAAAAACAAAAATATATAAATCGTTAAAAAATAACGAATTCAATTTACTTGTTAAACTAAATACATGCAACTATATTATTCTCATCAAATATTTGGTCAATTATTCAGGTAACTATGTTGTTACAATATATATTATAGATACAGAACGGAATGCATATAACTGATAACTGTTATAACTTTTAATACAATAAACATTTTACTGTATTCTTTTTAATAATAAACGAAAAAATCGTAAAATGAATAGAAGATTACAACAATATTTTAACAAAAGATAAAAAACGATACTTATTGCAAATACTGTCTGAACACAAAAATATATATCCTAATAGCAATAAATCAACATTATCCCAAAACTTTTAATACATATATATACATAAAAGACATATTCCACTTCTATAGTATTTCATTTAATTTTATTTTATGAAAACTTTAAAATGTTCTTATTTATTAATTAAAAAAACTAAATTTTTAATATTATTAATTTTTTATAAATTTTCAGAAAAAGCTATTTTTAAATTTTATTTAATTTTATATAATTATTTTTATGTTATCAATATATTGTTATTACAAGTAAAATATTCAATAATTTTTTAAAAATAAAACATCAACCTTATGTCTTTACATAAGGTTTTTTTGTATCTTGACTTTTATTGAAAAAATTACTTGACAACCTGTAATATACGTTTTATAAAATATTCATAGAAAATTCGAGGTCAGAACATTAAAATGCTGTGCGCCTCGGCTTAAATTATTCCAAATTACTTAAAATTTTCAGAATATTATTTTTTTATACTAAAAAAAAAATTGGAGAGGTGTTAAAAAAGAAATTTTGAAATTCTTAAATAAAAGACCACCCTAGTACTACGTGTATTAAATTGCTTGTAGTTCATATTAAAGCTAATTATTATTTTATTTTTTTAACAATAATAATTCTTTGTTGTGCTGCTTTACTCGAAAAGTTAATTTTCTGCTATCATTTCTTACATCCTAAACTCGTAACTTATTATATTATGTTAGATTGTTAATTTTATACAGTGAAATGTTAGTTTTATACAATTTTAAAGCAATTATAAATATTTTATACTTAAATTTCTGGTCATATCAAATCATGAGCTAATTATTTTACGGTATAATACTGCAGAATAGATTGAAACACTAAATAAGAGCCAAGCTAATTAAAATTATGTCTTAAAACTTTTTCATTTTCTAGATCTTAAAAATCATTAATATTAAAAATAGAAAAATTAAAATTAAAATTTTTTTCTAGGTCAATTAATTTATCAAAAATTATGTATTTGAGATTTCAAATAATTCTGTCTTTTGTAAGTTAAAATAATCTCATAAGTCACCATAATTATACCATATTTTTATACACCATTTTTTTTTTAATGGTAGAACAAATTTAAAATGATATATAACAATATAAATATTTATATTTACGAAAATATATCAAAATTACAATCGTTGAAAACGGCAGTTTTTTTATTTGTTTAGCAATTTTAAATGTCTATTACTATCTGAAGAGTACATAGATAAATTCGAAATTATAATTGACACGACTTACGTCACAATAATGTATTCGACACTGATGNCCATGCACACGTTTGAATTTAATCTCATGTCTATTTTTCCACCTGCTTAACCAACCATCAGTAGCAATAAACTGATTGTTACCCATTTTTTGGGATAATTCTTCAGCTTTACATTTCAGCATTGGACCAGAGACGCGAACACCACGACTTGTTATTAATGAAAACCACTCACTTAAAGCCTCGTCAACTTCGGGATCTTTCCCGTTCCGTTTACGTTTTTGATTGCCAGTTTTTGAATTGAAGTTTCCGCGTAAAGTCACTTCTTCTTTTAGCAGTTTCNAGCGAAACAATTCATAATGGTTGTGCAGCTGACTTCTCGCCAACTCTCGGATACAAACTGTATGGCTTGCAATATGTTTATTTTACCACTTATTTGATTAGCAGTTGCAGATGAATCAATAAGTTTTTCCTCAATCTTTTCAAGAATAAAATTAACCAGCTTTATTCTATACTTCACCTTGAGGTTTTTTATAATACCCATATCTAAGGGTTGAATTAAGGATGTCGTATTCGGTGGTAAGAATTCTAAAGTGATATTTTTGAGTTCAACGTTTTTTGGATGTGCAGCACAGTTATCAATGAGAAGAAGTATAAACTTAGATTTTGCTTGCAGTTCCTTATCCCATTCACACATNGATTAAATTAGTCGTTTTAACATACATATATGTATATTCTAACCCTATGATAAAATAAAAATTGCCCACAGAAACCGAACCAAATGCCCATATTATGCGATTTGNACTCATGTTGTTGACCAACAAAATTAGAAAACCCACAATGAGCGAAACAATTCATAATGGTTGTGCAGCTGACTTCTCGCCAACTCTCGGATACAAACTGTATGGCTTGCAATATGTTTATTTTACCACTTATTTGATTAGCAGTTGCAGATGAATCAATAAGTTTTTCCTCAATCTTTTCAAGAATAAAATTAACCAGCTTTATTCTATACTTCACCTTGAGGTTTTTTATAATACCCATATCTAAGGGTTGAATTAAGGATGTCGTATTCGGTGGTAAGAATTCTAAAGTGATATTTTTGAGTTCAACGTTTTTTGGATGTGCAGCACAGTTATCAATGAGAAGAAGTATAAACTTAGATTTTGCTTGCAGTTCCTTATCCCATTCACACATCCAGTTTGAAAATATAGTTGAAGTCATCCATGCATTTTTATTCGCATGGTAATGCACTGGCATTTTATTAATAGACAGATTTTTTTTTACCCATATTGGTATACGTTGGGATGGGACCAGACCATTATGCCCATATTTAGCGGATGCCCATATTAACCGGTGCCCACATTAGGCGGAATCCACTGTACTGTTATTGGAAATCCAATTAATTACCGAGGAACTTTATAGAAGTTCTGTGTAAAGTGAATTCTAAAACCAGTAGCTAAAACTAATTTTTTTTTTAGGGACTAATATTGTCAACATCGGCAGATATTAAAATTGATCAAGTTATCNATTAAGGATGTCGTATTCGGTGGTAAGAATTCTAAAGTGATATTTTTGAGTTCAACGTTTTTTGGATGTGCAGCACAGTTATCGATGAGAAGAAGTATAAACTTAGATTTTGCTTGCAGTTCCTTATCCCATTCACACATCCAGTTTGAAAATATAGTTGAAGTCATCCATGCATTTTTATTCGCATGGTAATGCACTGGCATTTTATTAATAGACAGATTTTTTTTTACCCATATTGGTATACGTTGGGATGGGACCAGACCATTATGCCCATATTTAGCGGATGCCCATATTAACCGGTGCCCACATTAGGCGGAATCCACTGTACTGTTATTGGAAATCCAATTAATTACCGAGGAACTTTATAGAAGTTCTGTGTAAAGTGAATTCTAAAACCAGTAGCTAAAACTAATTTTTTTTTTAGGGACTAATATTGTCAACATCGGCAGATATTAAAATTGATCAAGTTATCAATTATTTGTCATCCAAAAATTTATCACATGGACAAAATGCATTCCATAATTGCATTGCTAATTTAAACATAAATGGTTTTGAACAAATGAATTATGGTAAGACGTTGAAATAACTTTGATATCCTTATATAATTAAAATAATTCATTAAATGCTGATCATTACATTTGTAAAAGAAGTATAATTTTTTTTTTAATTTACNCAGTTTGAAAATATAGTTGAAGTCATCCATGCATTTTTATTCGCATGGTAATGCACTGGCATTTTATTAATAGACAGATTTTTAAAACATCGAGGTTTTAAGCTTTTTCCCACTACAAGCAGCTTTCGCATCTCACTCCCCGTCATATTGACACATAATAAAATAGTAATCCACTCCATTGCTTTTTTTGAGCCGGATAGCACTTACTGTTTGAAACATAAAGAACCGTCAGGTGTCGCTCGATAATACAGTCCAGTTTCATCTGCATTAAATATGTTATCGGGGGAAAATTCGTTCAAAATTTTTGGTAGCCTGTCAACTTTCCAATCATTAGAGGCGGCATCGNTTGATTTTATATAATTATTTGTATTTTAATGTTGCAACTATTTATTTTAAATAGTATTAATTTTTGAATGAGTTATTCAGATGAACAATTAATTTATCGTTATTAATTTGTAATTTTACAGAAGAATTCAATCAATTTTTAAGTAGACTGGGAGATGATATAATTTCTCGTGAAATTCAGCCAAAAGAAATGAGTCAAAAAATAATTGAATTTTTAAAATACGATAAATTTATTATTACAGAAAAGTGTGAAGATTGTTGTATAATTTTCCACTCAAGTTTGTTTGCAGTAGAATATCCCGAGGTACAAAATAACGAAATGCTGATATTAATAATATCTCAATGCTTTTTAGATTATTCTAACAATTCAATAAAAAATAATTTNTTTTAGATTATTCTAACATTTTAGAAATGCGAATTGACAATAATTTAAATGTATTCTTAACACTATTTTCCACTGTTATAATTCAAATAACAAAAACTAATAAAATAAAAATGATTAAATTAGAAGTTGGGCTTTTATATGGTGAGAACATCAGGTTGTGGTTCTATGGGAGTCATACGGTTCGAGGGTTTAAAACGACAAAGACAAGTAGATATAAAAATAATAAACGCGGTACATTAGAAATCGAGGTGTAATAAACTTTTGTCTTTCTAATGTCCTAACTAAGAGGCAACGAGACGGCGGAGCCAGTTCACGAATACCATATAACGTTCTAATGTATAATATTTTAACCAACCAGTCAAAATTAACACTTAAAGATATTGATTTAATAAATGATTTGTCATCCTTAACTCAAACTTCTTAACTCCAAATAATTGGGATAACATAAATTTACTTGCTTCTTTTTTCGTTTTGCAAATTTCTGCGAGATGATTTGATAAATATTTCAATATGTTTATATAATTAGAGTTATTGGATTTGCATTTCGTCACAAGATAAATAATTAAAACAAATTCTTTTCGTGTATAAATCACACGCGTAAAAAAGGTAGCCGACAACGACAAAGATTTGTGGCTGACAATTGTTCATTTAGTATATACCGACACGGCGTCGCTTCGTTATACGCGATGCCCCGCCACTCGTGCCACCTTTTCAGCCGTCGCCCTACTATGAGTATTTGACTGACCAACACCGCGTGCCATACGCCACGGTGCAAAGTTCAGCAAGTGCTGCACGGCAGACGACGACCCGCCGCAATTGATACGAGAGTCTTCTTCCCGTTGTCAGCGTGACAGCGTCGAGGATGTTCGCCCCGGCTCCGGACAAGACAAACCGATCCGCACCCGCGCCATCAGCGCTGCTAACGTTTTGACGCCCGAGGGCCATGTCGGACACCGAGTCGTAAGTGCCACGATATTAAGCGAAGATTATTATTACTGTATTCGTCTTTTCGGTTTATTTGTCTTTCTTTAAAGTTAACCCGTTGTTGCTCATTAATAAACGGCCCACGTGTCCTACCCTCAAAACCAGCGTCGACTACATTTTTGCGACGTAAGTCGCGTCAATACGATGAAATCGAATGCCGCTCTGAAAGGATTTTTGTGCTCTATATAGTGTAATACGGTACCCCCCCCCCAATCCAGGGATATTGTTGTCAGCGTTTTTAGCGAATGTCTTTTTATTTTACATATTAAATGTTACATGATTAACACAATTTGATAGTATTGTTAACAATGGTTAAATTATAGTATTGAACAGTGTGATTATAATGACAACTAATTTTATTTAATTAGTATCAATATAAAATTATAGTATTTTTATTGATAATTATCAATTACAATATAAAGCGATATACGTGTATGCCAAGCAATTGGACATATACGACACCACCCTCCGGTCCAACTTTGCTCGCGGTGACTTGCCGGTTTGGTATCGCAGGCGCCGACTTATGAGCGAGCAGCAAGCCCATCTCGAATGCGTCCATGCGATATACATCTAGTTAGCAACTGTACAATCTTGTTCCCCCCCCCCCATAGAATTTGAATATTAACTGGCTTCCTCGTCTTATAACTAAACGTTAATTAAACTATGATATAAATATTTACATAATACAAGTTTTTTTAATATATCTTTTTAATTATAAAAACATCTTTATTTTAAGATAACGGGCGATTTGAAAACATATAAAAAACGATTAAATTTGCGTTTTTATCGAGCATATGAAATTCTGCGAGCTTGCATAAAAATGTATTCTCTTGATGGACATGATACACGTCAGAAATGAGTAATTGACCTTATACACTGTTATTATACAATAAAAATAAACGGGCTAATAGTTTTGCAATGCTTTAGATGTGCACGAAGGAGATTTAAACGAAGACGACCGAAACGAAGTACGGAAATGTATAGTCGGAGATATAATTAAAATTATTTCTGGTAAAATTCCTCTAGATGGAGTTGTTCGTGGTATAAAATTCTTCATTTTTGGATCTGTCGAAATCCCTTTTGCAGAGTATTGTTGTGCTGCTTTTTACACGTATTTGGTTTTAGATGATTCCATGTTTTCTGTAAGTAAAAATTAACCAATAAAATATATTATTATACACGTTTTTTGTTTTATGAAATATAATTTTAAAATATATATCAAGTAATTACAATTGTTGAAAACAGCACTTTTTTATTCGTTTAGCAATTCCAAATTACTATAACACTCTGAAGATTGAATATGTTATTTTTTCAGGGACTAATATTACCAACATCGGCAGGTATTAAACTTAATAAAGTTATTAATTATTTGTCATCCAAAAATTTATCACATGGACAAAATGCATTCCATAATTGCATTGCTAATTTAAACATAAATGGTTTTGAACAAATGAATTATGGTAAGACGTTGAAATAACTTTGATATCCTTATATAATTAAAATAATTCATTAAATGCTGATCATTACATTTGTAAAAGAAGTAAAATTTTTTTTAAATTTATTATAATATCAATCGAGCTACTATATTTTTACAAAAAAAAAATTATTAATAATCCTAAAAATCATTTTAAAACCTTAAGAAAATCCTAATAGAAATACAAAATAAAATCTTAACCAAAATAAAAATGAATGAGAAAAAAGTCTATCATTATAATTAGCAACACTTTTGATTTTATATAATTATTTGTATTTTAATGTTGCAACTATTTATTTTAAATAGTATTAATTTTTGAATGAGTTATTCAGATGTACAATTAATTTATCGTTATTAATTTGTAATTTTACAGAAGAATTCAATCAATCTTTAAGTAGACTGGGAGATGATATAATTTCTCGTGAAATTCAGCCAAAAGAAATGAGTCCAAAAATTTACCACAAGCACAATTTGCATTCCATAATTGCATTGCTAATTTAAACATAAATGGTTTTGAACAAATGAATTATGGTAAGACGTTGAAATAACTTTGATATCCTTATATAATTAAAATAATTCATTAAATGCTGATCATTACATTTGTAAAAGAAGTAAAATTTTTTTTAAATTTATTATAATATCAATCGAGCCACTATATTTTTACAAGAAAATAAACTGTATATAATCCTAAAAGTCATATTTAAGCCTTAAGAAAAACCTTATACGAATATCAAACATCTTTGCAACATTATAATCTATTTAGTTTTGTAAAACATGTGAATTATTCTATTAAATATAGTAAAAAATGTAAGACGCTATGTTAATAGTATTGTAACATTATTAAGTTATAAATAAATCAACCATAATTATAATATAAATGTGTTAATTTTACTTGAATAAATTATAAATACTGAAATGGTATTTTTTAGCTTTGATGCGAAGCTGAGAAGGTATTGGTTTTACTATGATGTTCCTAGCCTTTCATTGGGTATATTTTTCTTATAAATATGATCCTTTACCTGCCCACAGAGGGGGGGATTTAAAATGACAACTTTTTCACAAAAAATTAACTTTTTCAAATTTATATTTGAAAGTGCTCCGGAAAGTCTGACACTTTTATATATATCTTAAATTAAAGATAATATAATATACTATATTATGGAAAAAAAAATTTCGGACTATATTTTGTTTTCATGGTGTAAATGGCTACCAAATGCTATTTTTGTGTGAAAAACTCGATTTTATTTTTTACATTTTACATCAATACAATTTTTTTATGAGAATTAATATTTACATCATTCTTTTATTCGATATACTTTATCTCAATCAGGATATAAATAAGAAAATAGCAGATCATGTAGCTTTTGGAATAATCCACCAATTTTTTAAAACTAAACACTGTCTAAAGATTTGCATCGGAGCGTTTTTTATGATAGTGATTTTAATCACTGTCAGATATCATTGTACTTGACCCAACTATGCCACGTCACCACTGTTCCGCGACCCCCCTGTGCTGGGGTTTTTTTTTTTAGCTTCGATGCGAAGCTGAGAAGGTATTGGTTTTACTATGATGTGTTTTTTTTTTTT